CTGTAAAAATGTCTGACTCTATGGGCTAACATGTTGATATGTGCGTAAATGTATAAACGTCCCGCAGCCATTAGCGTGTACACATGCATGCACACACAACAGCGTATGTTCACTTGAGAACATGCACACGTGTACACCTGTAGACGTCGGCCCATACACGTGAAAGCGCACGTGCACCTTCCCGGCTGTGTCTACAGGTGTGATTTGTGTGTACCTTACTGTTTTTGAACATTGGAATGTGTGTGCATTCAACCACCTCGGCCGTGACGCCCGGCCCACAGCCGCACTCACTGTCCGCGCGGCGGTCTGCGCTGCGCATTGACCACGCGTCCGTTTTGCTCTTGTGTGATGAGGAAAGCTTTTTATTTAATTTTTTTTAGACAGAGTCTCGCTCTGTCGCCCAGGCTAGAGTGAGTGCCGTGGCGTCAGCCTCGCTCACAGCAACCTCAGACTCCTGGGCTCAAGCGATCCTCAGAGAGATCACAGGTTCCTCAAAGCTGAAACATTCACCGTGCCCTCCAGGACGTTCTCGACCCTGCTGAACGCACCCATCCACCTCCACAGTCACGCAAACAGTAACCCACTCCAATTCCCCATCCCCATCCCTGGCCTGCCCACCAGGCTAGGTACCCAGCGGCCAGCTGACCTACACACAAAAAAAAAAACCGAAAGCACACATCGCTGGGCGCACCAGCCCCTTGCAGCCTGGCACATCTGACCCCCAGGGAAAAGAACAGGAAGTGGCCGAAAGTCATATGCACGGGTCTGAGAACCCGGTCTGACGGGAACCGGCTTTGACCGAAGCCTCTGGTCTCGCAAGACGCAGGCTCCGTGCTGAGGCGCTGGGCTGGGGCGGGGCGTGCGGCGCGTGGGGCGGCTCTCACCTGTGACCAGGCTGGAGACGAAAAGAGAAACAAACCAGACAGATCACCTCACAGACTCCACGGCATGATCTGGGTAGGTGGAGCTGCACAACAAAGAACAGGCCCAGCTGACCCCTAAGAACAGGAGGAGTCACACGAGCGCTGGGAACACAACAGCGACCACGGCAGGAGAGGATGGTGTGGGAGGGAGAGAGAGCAGGAGTGAGAAACGTTCAACAATGCAAACATTCAACAACAAAGACATCATATCTCAGGCGAATATGATGCCATGATGATACGCCTTGAAGACACTGTGATTAATGTAACGTAAATTATAAACGTCCGCAGTCATTAGCGTGTACACATGCAAACACGCATGATTCACATTGAGAACATGCAACAACTACACTGACAACCATACACTAAAGCGCACATGCAACACTATCACCGAGTGTGTCCTACAGGGTTGATTTGTGTGTACCGTTACTGTTTGGATTGACATGACATGTGGTGGCATTTTAATGTGTGTGCATTCAAACCACCTCGCGCAGAGCACGCCCAACACACACTACTCGCATCGACGTCCAACTAAGCGACTGACACAACGACTCCGTTTTGCTCTTGTGTGATGAGGAAAGCTTTTATTAATTTTTTTTAGACCCAGCAGTCCTCGTCTGTTGCCCCAGGCTAGAGTGAGTGCCGTGGCGTCAGCATCGCTCCACCAGCAACCCTCCCAGACCCTGGCTCTAGCGATCCCTCTGCCTCGCCTCCCGAGTAGGCTGGGGACTACAGGCATGCTGCCACCACGCCCGGCTGCATTTTTTCATATATTATTAGTTGGCCAATTAAGTCTCTTTATATTTATAGTAGAGACGGGGTCTCGCTCTTGCTCAGGCTGGTTTCGAACTCCTGACCTCGAGCATCCTCCTACCTCGGCCTCCAGAGCGCTGGATCAGGCGTGAGCCCCGCCCGGCCACGAGGAACTTGAAAGCACTGAGAAGCTTGTTTTACTTTACAGCAGCTTTACTTGTAATGTCAATCAGAATAGGTAACACAGACATACATGTTTTCACTACGTTATTTTTAAATGTTCACAATTTTATTTTGATAGATGAAAAATCAGAAAAGTCGTATCACGGCTGCCGGCTAAAGTCGCTGTGCGCATGCACCTGTGGCTGTCGCCTGCAGTCGAGGCTGGGCCCGAAGCGGTTAAGCTCATCGGTGTGCGCATGCGTGCTCGGGAGACCGTATGTTCAGGATTCTGACACGTGTGTGCGCGTGAGTTTGTTTGCACCTGTACCGTTCTGTGCGTGCATGAAAACACGTTCGCGCTTCTGTGCGTGCACACGTGACGCGTGTCTGTGCGTGTGTGTGCACGTGAGTGCGTGTGCGCACACACGGATGTACACGTGGCGCGCGCGCCCACCTGTGTGAGCGCGTGCTTATAGAGGCTTGGAAGGAGGGGGGGGCAGGTGGGGCGTCGTCTGCGTGCAGGTGAGAAGGGACACAGGGGGGGTGGTGTGCAAAAGCGAAAAGCCCGTGGGGTGAGGTGGGGGGCCCCCGCTGGGAATGTCCCCCGAAGTCCCCGCCCTCCGGGGCGGGCGCGCAGAGCTCACCGATGACCACGGCGCTGACGGTGAGCAGGATGAAGGCGTGGCGGCGCAGGAAGCGCAGCACGTGCTCGCGGGTCAGGGTCTGCAGGCGCAGGCGCGTGCGCAGCGCCCGCTGCTGCAGCCCGTCCCGCAGCCGCCCCGGCCAGCCCGCGCCGCCCAGCCGCTGGCCGCTGTCGCGCAGGAACAGGCTGTTGCCATGGCTGCTCATGGCTCTCTGCGGGGGACAGAGAGGCGCGGGTCCGGAGAGGGGCGGGGCAGAGGGCGGAGGGGTGGAAAACGGGGGTGGCCACTTGGGGGAAACTGAGGAAGACAGGCCGGGACGG